GGCGGGGCTTCCCTCAGGTGTCCTCACCAGTGGACGTCAGTTCAGTGACCATAGATTAGGAACTTCCTTGATTCAAAATAAGCCCTAGAGCATGTAGGCTTTTGATGGACAAGCTCCACAGTGTGTAGGCTGTTGAGTCAGGATGAGAAAGAGTGCTGAGCCTCGAAATCACATCCCCTCCTCAGGGAAAGGCCTGAAACAGGAGCCCCACGTTTATCATCGTTTCATTTGGATCTTACCCAGGACCCCTGGTTCTTAGCAAGTTACATGTTACTTCTGAATGGCAGGGGTATGTACGGAAAGAGAGTAGGTGACTTCATGTCTAATAAGTCTTTTTAGATAGTCCTTATGGAAGCCCTTAGGACCTTCTGATCGGTTTCTCTGATGTCATACCAACAAGACTTCCATCGCTGAACCTCCGAGAGCACGAGGATGCTTTTAAGAAGATGGATCTGGCACAGGGGGCCAGGGAGAAGGTTATGGAAAATGTCTCAGGTACCTGTACCTGAGTGAAAGCTGGAGGAGGAGGAGGTCTTGTTTCCTGGCCACATACGGACACTCCCTTACTAGATCCAATGGGTACAGCTCGCTGTGGAGGGACTGGGGGCGCTGGAAATGCACTCCCCTGGCTGGGGATAGAAGACAGTGTGCTGTGAAGATGCATGGCCCCTGTGGATGTTCCCACGGAGGAACAAATGGGAGAAGGGCCCCCCACAGCCGTGGGGAGACAGGGTGCACGACTGACTGGAGAACTGGGGTTTGCCACGTGTCAGATAGGACGTTAACTATTCACGTATAACGTGGGTATTACCTTTTCCACCCACGAATGCTGCCCCGTGCCAGCAAGGAATCTCATCTGTATATACCAACGGCAATCTCCGTTTTCACGCCCCATTCGGCATGGGGAATCGCCACACAGCAGCTTACAACACCCATTTGCCACTTCAGCTGGTGGCAGGGTTCCCAGGTCAGGGTGTTAAAAGCTGAGATCCCGGGTGTCAGCCGGCCTGAGCTGAGCTCTGGAGTTGTGAGGCCGAGGGACCAGCCGCTCCAAGTGCGTGCAGGCTGTCACAGCTACTGCCCTCGTGACCCAGAGGCAGAGACGCCCCCCTACCTCCCACCGGGCGCCAGGCAGGGAGCGTGTGCGGCCCCCCCCGTCACCCCTGCATCACCAGCATCCTCAGACCTGGTTTTTCCTGACCCTCTCCTCACGGAGAACCAACACCAGGGTGGTGGGCAGAAAATTCCAGCATCTTCCCGTCTTTACTCTCTTCCCTGCCTCCCTCTGGCTTTGGAAACGCATACTTTTCCCATTAGGAACGTTACAGATTAGGCTGAAGTCCTCTTTGTCCATCACCCGCGCCCTCATCATCTCCCCGAGACATCACTGCTACTATGGGATTTGCATCTTTCTGTCTTTTTATGACAATTTTAAACATATAAGCATCTATATAAGGTACATACTATTTTTGTACATGTTTTATTGGTACCTGAATCATATCATGTTTATTCATCACCCCACACGCATTTTTTTCCTACTCAACAATATATTTTTAGAGCTTTTAGAACTATATTCATATATATCCAGCCATGAAATCATCACCATGACCAAGGTCATGAAGCTCACTTATCCTGTTTTCTTCTAGAGTTAGAGCTTCAGATCTTATGTTTAAATAGATAGATGAGGGGTACCTGCGTGGCTTAGTCGGTTAAGCATCCAGCTCTTGGTTTCAGCTCAGGTCATGATCTCACAGTTTGTGAGTTCAAGCCCCACATTGGGCTCTGATGGTGTGGAACCTGCTTGGGATTCTTTCTCTCCTCTCTTTCTCTCCTCTCTCTCTCCTCTCTCTCTCTCTCTCTGCCCGTCCCCAGCTTGCTCTATCTCTCTCTCAAAATAAATAAATAAATAAACATTTAAAATTTTTTTAATTGAGGGGCGCCTGGGTGGCTCAGTCGGTTAAGTGTCTGACTTCGGCTCGGGTCATGATCTCACAGTCCGTGAGTTCAAGCCCCGCATCAGGCTCTGTGCTGACCGCTCAGAGCCTGGAGCCTGTTTCAGATTCTGTGTCTCCCTCTCTCTCTGATCCTCCCCTGTTCATGCTCTGTCTCTCTCTGTCTGTCTCAAAAATAAATAAACATTAAAAAAATTTTTTAAATTTTTTAAATTGATAGATCATAGATAGATAAACTTTTATTTGCTGTATTCCCTTTTATGTATTACCAAATTTTCTTAATCCACTCTCAAACTGATGTTCTTTTTTTCCTAATTGTTGTCATGCCAACAAATGCTTCAGCAAACATCCTATGCACATCTCCTTGAATATATGCAAGATTTTCTAGAGGACAGATACTTAGAACTTAAATTGCTGGCTCATGGGGTACCTATTTGTTCCATGATCCTGCTGAATCACTTTTTGTAGCCGTTTTGTCCACCTACTTCGATTTAACGGGGTGAGGAGGGATCTTTTGTATTTGATTAGGCCAGTACACCATTCCCTGGTGCCCAAAGACTTAAATGTTTGTAGATAAAAAGAACTTATCCCTAAAGCCCTGTTTCAGCCAGAGTATTTCTTTTTTAAAGTTTTTCTAATGTTTATTGATTTTTGAGGGAGAAACAGAGCACAAGCAGGGAAGGGGTAGACAGAGGGTGAGAGAGAGAATCTCAAGCAGGTTCCGAGCCGACAGCACAGAGCCCGACTCCGGGATCCGTCTCACAAAGTGTGAGATCATGACCTGAGCCGAAATCAAGTGTCCGATGCTTAGCCAACTGAGCCACCCTGGTGCCCCTCTACCAGAGTATTTGAAGTCTGCTTTTAAAAGCACACTTGGAGCATGGTCTGATTTCTTTCTCCTTGTGTTCCTGCGGTCACAACCCAGCACTGAGGACACGAGAAGTTGGCATTAGTGGAAAGCAGGCAGCATATCAGTTAATACTTCCGAGAATTAGCCTGTCACACCATGTTTCTTACCCTCTTCATAACCCACAGAGAGCAGGCGGTGGCCAGAGTTTTTGTTTGTTTTTATTCTGATAAGAACCCTTAACATGAGATCGACCTCCTTAAAAAAATTTTTTTAAGTATATTTATTTTGAGAGAGAGAGAAACAGAGCACATGAGTGAGGGAAAGGGAAGAGACAGAGAGAGAGAGAGAGAGAGAGGGAATCCCAAGCTGGCTCCACACTGTCAGCACAGAGCCCGACGTGGGGCTAGAACCCATGAACTGTGAGATCATGAAGTCAAGAGCAGGACGCTTAACCAACTGAGCCACCCAGGCGCCCCCCCCCCTCCCTTAGGACAATGTTAAGTGCGGGCTTCAGTGTTGTTAACTGCAGACACCGTGTTGTGCAGAAGGTCGCCAGCACTCATTCATCTTGCATAACGTGTGCCCCATTGAATAGTAACTCCTCATTCCCTCTCTCCCCCTGCACCCGCCATGGCTAATCTGCTGTCGGCTTCTACGAGTTCTGCTATTTCCGAAGCCTCATATGAGTAACACAGTGTTTGTCCTTCTGTGACTGGCTTAGTTCACTCAGCATAATGTCCTCAAGGCTCATCTTGCTGTCACACATTGCATCATTTCCTTTTTTAAGGCTGAAAACTATGCCGCTCTACGTACCCCCCATACTTTCTTCATCCCTTCATCCATCCATAGATGTTTAGTTTGTTTCTGTATCTTGGCGATTGTTAGTAGTGCTACATGAACAAGGAAGTAAGGGCCAGTGGTAAGGAAGTAAGGCTTGGAGTAAGGGCTTGAAGCGCTTCAAGATGCTAATTTCGGTTCTTTTGGATAAATGCCCAGAAATTACTGCCAAGGACAGTGTCATGAAGCCCATCCTCTGTTTTCTCCTAGGAGTTTTGTAGTTGCAGGTCTTATGTGCAGTAAGGCTTTCGTCTGTTTTGTGTTGACTTTTGTGCATGGCATAAGACTGGGGTCCAGTTTCATTCTTTTGCACGTGGCCGTCCAGTTTTCCCAACATCGTTTGTGGAAGAGACTGTCCTTTCCTCATTGTGTGTCCTTGGCATTCTGAGCTCTTTCTGGTTACCTGGGTCAGTATGTCTGTCTTCAGGCCAGGATCATACTCCTTTAATTACTACAACTTTGTGATGTATTTTTAAATCAGGGATTGTGTTGCCTCTAGCTTCGTTCTCTCTCAAGATGGTTTTCGTTCTCTGGGGTCCTTTGTGGTTCCATATAGGGAAGCCCTCTTGACAGAGGAAGAAATGTGTCTCAGAGAAGCCAGGCATTCTGCCAAGTTTGTACTCCTTCTCAGCCAGCCCAGAACTCAAACCCAAATCAAACAGGCTCTGAAGACCATGCTTCTTCAACTACCTTTGGCTGCCTTCCAGGGAAAAGTTATCACTGATAACAACAGCATCATATTTATTGATAGAAGTGCAGTTAGTGCATCTCATTATGTGGTGGCCTCAGATGAGCAACCATGATTTCCTAGACATTTCTCCCTCTCAGAGCCAGAAGTCATAACAGGTTTTCGCTCGTAATTTGCTTTGCTCACTACTTTCCATCTCCCATTTGAAAGGCTTTCTTCTCCTCAGTGACCTGTTCACCTACCAGATTCACATTCTTCTTTTTCGCTTTCACATATGAAGATATTAGAAGGAAACAAGTGTAGTTTTCGGGAGTGAATACATGATTATTAACCATTAGCTTTTTAATTACTGTCCTTTAGATGTTGTATCACAAGGGGGGAGAGCACGTAACTACAGGTTATTCTCTGTGAATGGCTCTTTCGCAACAGTAAAATTTTTGCTCAGTTCATAATCTATATCCATGGTATGATGGACAGAGACTAGAATATTTTTAAAATAAGAAAAAGCATATATCTGAAACTTTTAAGGGATATTAGATATTGAATTAGCATTGAATTATAAAGAGAACAATGGCCACTGGTAGATATGCCAAAGAACTTAAGTCAAAGATCGCCTGATAGTTTGTGATTCACAGGGATTCTAGTGATTAATCAAGAAGCCCATAGACTCCAGCAGCACCAGAACGAGTATTTAATGAGCCCGGGATAGAGACATAGTCCTATGCATGGGTGTCTTCTCTCAATTCTGGTTTCTTTTATATCCTGTGTTCCAACAAAGTATAATTAGAATGGAATATTATACAACTTGTGGTGTGCCACAGATTCACAGGATGAAGTGAGCCAAACAAAAAGAATTGATCTCAGGCATATTTTTTAAATTCCCACGTGTTTCGTCATCCACATGGGTCAACTGAGCAAATTAATTTGCTCTTGAATTTTTACAAACGTAATGTGATGACCTGCGGGGAGCAATATGACATTGCCTAAAACACTTTGTGCTTTTTAAAAACTATTTTATTCATATCCCATATCTCATCTGGGGGTGAGCCCATGGAGGGGAGAGTCCTGAGTCATTGAATTCAATGGCACCAATCACAATGGCCTAAAGCTAGTTGTGGCTTAATGAGAAGTGTTGATGTTGAGGGTGACAGTTATGTTAATTGGGACCTTTGTGGCTGCAGATGACAGCGACCTATCTCCTGTAGCCCCAGCCACAAAGATAATGGTTGGCTCACATATATATCCTGCAAGGTCAAGGAGGAGGGGTTGACCTCAGGAGTGGCTCCATCCAGGTTTGAGAAGACATCATGATCATGCTGTCTCTGTGCTCCGCACTGCCTGCCATCTCTCTCCTTCCCCCGTATCTCCGCTCTACGCTTGCTTCTCAGGTTTTCCGCGTGGATATAAATAGGTCACTGGCACCTAGAAATCCCCAGGAACACAGAATTACCCTCCTTTTCCAGGACGCATATCAGTTCCCTAAATTTACTCTTGCTGCTCCTGTTTGCATGTTCTTCAGGCCCATTGTTGAGGTAGAGGAGTCAGGACCACATGATTGATGGTCATCCAGAAATTACATACTGTGGATGACAGGCCATTTCTAAAAGAATGGCTGAAGGAGAGACACATAGTAGACAGCCTCTGCATGACATTGGTAAGAAGAAACAAAGATGAACGAAGACAGATGTGCCATCAGCACAAATACAAAGCACTGGGATTATTGGCCGTTATCATGATGTATGAGAAAATCAGCGTGGCAGAAGCTGTGAAAATAACTGTACAGAACATGATCAATTCCGTGGGACATGATGACAGAGACTTAGCGTTCTTAAGAATTCTGAGAGGTGCTGCAGAGGATATGTGGGATTCAGAGCACACAGCAGGGGCTGGGGTAGGGAGGGCGAGTAGGAAGAAGGGAGGAATATGACGTTCGCTGTAGTGCAACCCAAGCGTGGACCTTGCTGCTATGTCCAGGAGGCTTTGGAATGGAAGACGCTGGGGAGATAAAAGCCACTCAGTGTGTAGAAAATTAGCAGGGGTACGTGAGGAAGAAGAGGAATGCATGACAACGGGTGATGATGTGAAGAAGAAAAAAGTAACGCTCATCCGAACACATGCAGTGGAGGACACTGGACAGGCACCTCGACTCCCCGGGAGAAAGTGGCTGTTAACCTCAGAGACAGGACGTTGAGCTGAGGTGTCTCGTTCGAGACGGATCCGTTCCCATCTATCCGTATGGGTGCGAGTGTGATGGGGAAGACGGGCAGACACCTTTAGGAATCCTATGGGAAGCTGGGAACCGGGTGGAGGGAGAAGAAACAGATCTTCTGCATATGGATCTGGGAAGGAACCGTAAATGCAACAGAGTACCCAAACAGCAAGTCTCACTTCCCGAATACAGACATCCCGCGGTGAGAGAAAGCTGGAGATAAGGATGAGTTGACCGCACCTAATAAAACCCAAAGAGGTGAAAATAAATAAGGAAGAGGACCCCTTCCATCACCTATGATTAGCAGTTAGTGCATTGCGGTAGATTTCATCTATGCGTTATTCAGATGTTCCTTTTTTTTTTTAATTTTTTTTTAACATTTATTTATTTTTGAGACAGAGAGAGACAGAGCATGAACAGGGGAGGGGCAGAGAGAGAGGGGGACACAGAATCCGAAACAGGCTCCAGGCTCCGAGCTGTCAGCAGAGAGCCCGACGCGGGGCTCGAACCCACGGACTGCGAGATCATGACCTGAGCCGAAGTCGGACGCTCAACCAACCGAGCCACCCAGGCGCCCCAGATGTTCCTTTTTTTTAATATAATTTATTGCCAAGGTGACTAACATACAATGTGTATAGTGTGCTCTTGGTTTTGGGGGTAGATTCCCTTGATTCATCACTTACATACAACACCCAGGGCTCCTCCCAACAAGCGCCCTCCTCAAGGCCCATCCCCCATTTACCCCTCTCCCCCACTGCCTCCATCAGCCATCAGTTTGTTCTCTGTATTTAAGAGTCTCTTACGGTTTGCCTCCTTCCCTCTCTGTAACTATTCTTCCCCTTCCCCTCCCCCATGGTCTTCTGTTAAGTTTCTCAGGTTCCACATATGAGTGAAAATACGATATCTGTCTTTCTCTGACTGACTTATTCCACTCAGCATAATACCTTCTGGTTCCATCCATATTGCTGCAAATGGCAGGATTTCATTCTTTCTCATTGCCAAGTAGTATTCCATTGTATATAAAAACCACATCTTTTTTTTAATGTTTATTTATTCCTGAGAGAGAGAGAGTGTGTGTGTGAGTGGGTGAGGGACAGAGAGAGGGAGACCCAGAATCCGAAGCAGGCTCCAGGCTCAGAGCTGTCAGCACAGAGCCCGACACAGGGCTTGAACCCACGAACTGTGAGATCATGACCTGAGCCGAAGTCAGGTGCCTAACCGACTGAGCCACCCAGGTGCCCCAAACCACATCTTCCTTATCCATTCATCAACTGATGGACATTTAGGCCCGTTCCATAATTTGGCTATTGTTGAAAGCACTGCTATAAACATTGGGGTACACGTGCCCCTATGCATCAGCACTCCTGTATCTTTCGGATAAATTCCTAGTAGTGTTATTGCTGGGTATTCAGGAGTTCTTAAACTCTTCTTCTCTGTAATAGAACAATACACTAGAACATTTAGACTATTAAAAATTTTTTTTTGCAATTTCAAATAGTCCTGAAGTAAATACATGTGTATATGTGTATGAATGTAAGTGCATGTAAAATTGTATGTGTATGCTTTTGTATGCCCAACCATTTATGTATTTTATGTGTAAGTACACACACACACACACACACACACACAATACATACATGCTACATGTACACGCTGTCAGCTTCCGGAATCTTGGAATTTGTGCATTATTTGGACACATGCTGCTAAATTACCTTTCGGATTGTTGACCAGTCTACCCTACAGCCAAGACCTGAAATTATTTCCTTCACACTGTCGTCAATACTCCATGCATCAAATCACTTATATTTTGCCTCGTAGGTGACAAATGGTATCTCATTGATCTTTAAATGCACATTAATTCCACTTGAAAGAGGTTCATCAAGAGTTTCAGCTAGTCAGGCCAGGTGTATGCAGCATTGGGACAGGCTGGTGGGAAGCAGAGAAACATCCCAGTGAAACACAGAGGTGGTGGGCTCGAGATTGTCTGGGTATGAATGAATCTCTGCTCCCCTCCTCCGTCACTCATTAGCTTGATTCTCGGACAAATAACTCTCTGTGTCTCAGTTTCTCGTAAAATGTGATTATTTTAAAGATGAAGCCAGATGAAAACATGGCAATTTGCACGTGTACCACAGAGGAAGTATCCAATATATGTTCTGTTTTAATCACTATTATTGCACTAAATTGAGCTTTGAGCATCCTGAAAGCAAAGTGAGCTCATTGTTCGTAAGAAGAAGAGTAAAGTAACACTAGACACTACCCTTATGTAGCACGTTCTGTGTGCCACGCTCTGCACTAAGTACTTTCTTTGCACGTATTAAAATATTTTGATGAGAAACAAAATTTCTTTGACCACTTACTATGGAATTCTGTGTTAAATTTCTCAATGGTTTATTGCATTATACAGAATGTTTCATTCCTATTTTTCTTTTTTTTTTTTTTTTTTTTTTTTTTTAAATTTTTTTTTTTTTTGGACAGAGAGAGACAGAGCATGAATGGGGGAGGGGCAGAGAGAGAGGGAGACACAGAATCGGAAACAGGCTCCAGGCTCCGAGCCATCAGCCCAGAGCCTGACGCGGGGCTCGAACTCACGGACCGCGAGATCGTGACCTGGCTGAAGTCGGACGCTTAACCGACTGCGCCACCCAGGCGCCCCTCATTCCTATTTTTCAGTGAGGAAACTGGCACCAAAAAAAGTTAAGAAACAGGGGCGCCTGGGTGGCTCAGTAGGTTAAGTGTCCGACTTCGGCTCAGGTCACGTTCTCATGGTTCATGAGTTCAAGCCCCATGTCGGGCTCTGTGCTGACAGCTCAGAGCGTGGAGCCTGCTTCCAGTTCTGTGTTCTCCCTCTCTCTGCTCCTCCCCTGCTCATGCTCTCTCTTTCTCTCTCAAAAATAAATAAACATTAAAAAAAAATTTTTTAAGTTAAGAAATACCCAAGATCCCACCACCAGAAAGTAGTTGAACCGAGATTTGAACCTACGCCTTTGGGACTACAAGGTCTTCCTGCTACAGGCTGAGGCTGCCCCAAGAGACTACATGTCATTCTGACTGCTCTCCATTGAAAGACTCTGACTTGCAGTGTCTAAAGGCCTGAGTCAGGACTCTTACCGTGTGACGTGTGCACATCTTTATATGTAAGAGTTTACAGTTGAACACTTCTTCTTAAGTTTATTTATTTTTGAGAGAGAGAGAGCATGCAAGAGAGTGAGGGAGGGGCAGGGAGAGAGAGACAGAGAGAGAGAGAGAGAGAGAGAGATTGAGAGAGGGAGAGAGAGACAATCCCAAGCATGCTCTGTGCTCTCTCCACTCAGAGCCTGATGCAGGGCTCGAATCCACAAACCGTGAAATCATGACCTGAGCCGAAACCAAGAGTCAGACGCTTAACCGACCGAGCCACGCAGGTGCCCCCGGTTGAACGCTTTTTAAATCAAGAGCCTAAACACAACAGAAGTGTTCCCAGTAGTATTTTGCTGTGATCAGCAAACACTGAATTCATAGAATGACACCCACTGAGGAATGATGGACTGAGTCAGGTCCACAGTGGCTGGTGACGTGAGCATCTGTAGGCCTCACGACCCCAGAGGCTCCGAGAGGATGGGGTAGGTCTCCCCCAAGGTTTCCCGTGACAGCACGGGGGTCTTCCTGGTGACGCATCAATTGTAATGATTCTTAGTCATTTCTAGATCTTGGTGACAAGTGTCCAAAAGAACTAATTGCAATTTTGCAACTATTTGTACACAAATGTGCATGCGTGGTGCTACAATACTTTTTCATCGCTGAATTTAAAATAGCTACGAATACTGGAAATATCCAAAACCAGTTTGGGCAGTTCCGAATATTCTGGTAAAGATCCTGCCTATTATCAAGCACATGGCAGCTGCCTTCCGTACTGTTACCAACCACTACACGGATCCAGTACGCTATTTCCTATCTGTGTCTTGAAGAGGGGATACAGTGTGAGGTCATTTACACTTATCTCGTCCCTTGCTCCGGGTTGACGTTGCTCAGGCTGGTGAGGCTTCAGTGCTCGGCACCTCTTTAACGCTGCTTACGTCCGCAGCCCGGGATAGGTAAGTGCCCAGGTGGAGAAAATTCAGATGAGGGACATCAGGGTCTGGAGTAGCATGATGATAAAGCTATGCTAGATAAGTATCACAGGAGCATCTAATATTCTCCCCCTTCTCTTTAAACTAAGAGAAGGAAGATTTTGTTGGATAACAGCATTACGTGCGAGTGTAGGTGGCAGACTCTTAAAAGTAAGGACAGTGTGGAGAGAAAGAACAACGTTCCGTGCATGCCTCCAGCTAACGGTGCTCAAACAAATCAATGCCTACCTGCTCTAGACTCCTCACCTTTAAAAATAAGAGGAAGGGCTTGGTGTCTCTAGCCTGCCTGAGGGTCAGCATCCTGTAAGAGGTCTCCATGTCTTTTAAAGTGTTCAGTCGATGCAAAGAACCAATCAAACGAAGGCAGACATTTTCCTAACCGGGTCTTTTCTCTCTTATCTCCCCAGACTATGTCAGAGAATCACAATGACCTTGCACAATAACAGTACAACCTCGCCTTTGTTTCCAAACATCAGCTCCCCCTGGGTACATGGCCCCTCGGATGCAGGGCTGCCCCCAGGAACGGCCACCCACTTTGGCAGCTACAACATTTCTCGAGCAGCTGGGAACTTCTCCTCTCCCAATGGCACCACCAATGACCCTCTGGGAGGTCACACCATCTGGCAAGTGGTCTTCATCGCCTTCTTGACGGGCGTGCTGGCCTTAGTGACCATCATCGGCAACATCCTGGTGATAGTGGCCTTTAAGGTCAACAAGCAGCTAAAGACCGTCAATAACTACTTCCTCTTAAGTCTGGCCTGTGCTGATCTGATTATTGGGGTCATTTCAATGAATCTGTTTACTACCTACATCATCATGAACCGATGGGCTTTAGGGAACTTGGCCTGTGACCTCTGGCTCTCCATCGACTACGTGGCCAGCAACGCCTCAGTCATGAATCTTCTGGTCATCAGCTTCGACAGGTACTTTTCCATCACGCGGCCACTCACATACCGAGCCAAACGAACCACAAAAAGAGCCGGCGTGATGATAGGTCTGGCTTGGGTCATCTCCTTCATCCTTTGGGCCCCCGCCATCTTGTTCTGGCAGTACTTTGTTGGGAAGAGAACTGTGCCCCCAGGGGAGTGCTTCATCCAGTTCCTCAGCGAGCCCACCATCACCTTCGGCACGGCCATCGCTGCCTTCTACATGCCTGTCACCATCATGACTATTTTATACTGGAGGATCTACAAGGAAACTGAAAAACGCACCAAAGAGCTCGCCGGCCTGCAAGCCTCGGGGACAGAAGCAGAGGCGGAAAACTTTGTCCACCCCACGGGCAGCTCTCGAAGCTGCAGCAGCTATGAGCTTCAACAGCAAAGTATGAAACGCTCGGCCAGGAGGAAGTACGGACGCTGTCACTTCTGGTTCGCCACCAAGAGTTGGAAGCCCAGTGCCGAGCAGATGGACGCAGACCACAGCAGCAGTGACAGCTGGAACAACAACGACGCTGCTGCCTCCCTGGAAAACTCGGCCTCCTCCGACGAGGAGGACATCGGCTCCGAGACGAGGGCCATCTACTCCATCGTGCTCAAGCTTCCCGGCCACAGCACCATCCTCAACTCCACCAAATTACCCTCATCGGACAACCTGCGGGTGCCTGACGAGGAGCTGGGGGCGCCGGACTTGGAGAGGAAGGCCGGCAAACTGCAGACCCAGAAGAGCATGGACGATGGAGGTGGTTTCCAGAAAAGCTTCTCCAAGCTTCCCGTCCAGTTGGAGTCAGCCGTGGACACAGCCAAGACCTCTGAGGCCGACTCCTCAGTGGGTAAGGCCACGGCCACCCTCCCCCTGTCCTTCAAGGAAGCCACTCTGGCCAAGAGGTTTGCTCTGAAGACCAGAAGTCAGATCACCAAGCGGAAGCGGATGTCCCTCATCAAGGAGAAGAAGGCGGCCCAGACCCTCAGCGCCATCTTGCTTGCCTTCATCATCACCTGGACCCCCTACAATATTATGGTTCTGGTGAACACCTTTTGTGACAGCTGCATCCCCAAAACCTATTGGAATCTGGGCTACTGGCTGTGCTATATCAACAGCACCGTGAACCCCGTGTGCTATGCCCTGTGCAACAAAACATTCAGAACCACTTTCAAGATGCTGCTCTTGTGCCAGTGCGACAAACGCAAGAGGCGCAGGCAGCAGTATCAGCAGAGACAGTCAGTGATCTTCCACAAGCGCGTGCCCGAGCAGGCCTCGTAGAGTGGGGTCTTACCAATCGCGGTGACCAAACGCACGCACGTCGGCCCACAGACCTTAGCAGGGAATGAGGCGAGGGCGGGGGCGATTTCTGGGCATGATGAATATGGTTTTTATCACCCAGATATGGAAGGAGCTGCCTGTTCACTGACCCATTGAGTAAATCCATTTTAATAGAGAAAGTCAAATACCAATTCAGCAAAAAAAAAAAAAAAAAAAAAAAGCGTATTACCGAATATAAAGAGATTTATTCTTAAATAGACTTCAAGTGTTTTTTTCTTAAAGAAAGGAAAAAAAAAATGTTTCGTAGCAATTACATACCCAAATTGATCTGCTTGGTTCTTGTAATTCCCAATAGCGCTGGCATCTCAGATGAGCGTAACTAGCCGACACACTTGGCCACATCCTTTCCAAGGATTCCACGTGGAACACGTCAGGCTAGTGACCCCGTGGTTCTGAAATTACGTCATGCAAAGCTGAACCTTCTTGTCCCAATAGAGCTTCCGTCTTCTCTGGTGTGTTGTTAAACTCTATTTGTGGACTTGATTCTTGCCAAGTACTCTTTTGTGCAGTTCCAGTCTCGTACAAAATAAAAATATAGACGTATATATATATGTGTGTGTGTGTGTGTGAGGGAGAGAGAGAGAGAGAGAGAGAGACTTCTGCACACACACACATAGTGTATATAATAGAGTGGGAATCGCTGAGCTGGCAAATTATTCCTGCAATATGTTTTCAGTACTTTGGTAACTGAAGTTTTCTAGGATCCTAACACAACATAAAAGTGAAATAAACCCAGTGTAATGTTTTGGAAACCAGGGCTTTTTGTCCACAAACCACCCTGGGGAATATTCAGCAGAGAGGCCAGCCCCTGAGAGTCAGGTCCTACGCGGCCACGGCTTGCCCAGACTCGTGAGCATAAGCCTCGTCCTTTGCTGGTGTTCTCTACAGAGCTCAACCCAACCGGGGCCCCTCTGAGCTCAAAACACGAACCACATGCACATTGTTTGAATTCATTCAAATCTGAATGTTTCCAAACGAAATGTCTGCTATCCAAACTGCTTGAAACTCAGTACTAGTGTCACGCTTGAATGTCACACACAGCAATATAGATGGCAAAGCAAAAAGGGACACTGTGGGGGGGGGTGGGGGGTGGGGGGGTGGGGTGTGCGAGGAGGGGAGGAGAGCGTGGGATTGGATTTCTTACTACCTGGCACCTTCCAAACAAAAAAGGGCTCACACCTGTGTTACTTAGCAGTGGCCAGTGCTTTCTGGTTCGTTCTGTGACCTTCACCCAGCCGTCGGTGGGGTTTAGGAACTCACGTGTCCTCTGAAGAAAGCGTTAGCACTCTGGGAAGTATTGCTTCCAATTGATCTCCTTACATTTCGCGACAACGATTTTTGTATCTCCTTTGAGTTGATCCAAAAGCTTAAATGTTGTATTTGGCGGGGAGGGGAGGGGAGGGGAGGGCTGCTACCGTTGCTGTTGTTTTTGTCGCTGCTGTAATTGTCGGGGCTCCTTCTCCTTCCTTTTGCCGGGGCCTTGTGGGGAGCGGGGGGTGGGGGGGTGGGAGGGGTTACTGAGGAGAAACCTCACCTTGTACAGGGCATCCGTGTCGTGGACCCGGAGCCAGAACAGAAGCTGCTTGTGTTCAGTGTAAGCTGGTGTTTACGAGCAACATCAGCGGACGTGGACTCAGTGGTGTGCGTGTTGCGGAACTATTTAATTTCGTGTTACGTTTCTATGAAGAAATATTTATGCATAGTTCACCACCCGTCTATTTAATGTTGATAAATAGTACTCTTCAGTCTTCAGCCGTGGTGTCCCTTGCAAGAGACTGTTTAAGGTCCTCTAGAGCGACACGTGCAGGGAACTGGGCTTTCATGAGGCCGGGAAGAAGAAGACAGCCATCCCATTGGCGTCAGCAAGTACCTAACTCCTGGGCAATCAAAAGCCAACTGTAACGTTAACGTCAGTGTGGAAAACCACTCTTTACTTGATACCTGATGGACCCTGAACGGAGCAAATTTGAAGTCACATGACAAGGGGTAAAAAGCAGATCAGTGCCATTGAAAGAATGATGGTTTTTGTTTTGTTTTGTTTTGACCCACATTCAACCAAAGAACAAGAAAAACCAGAGACCATTTTCTAACATGTAGAACAGACTACAGAATGTTCTGTGATCCACCTGTGAAATGTCTAGTGAGCAACCACATCCATATTTTACTTCTCCCATTGGCCTGGCACTAATAATAAATGCGTGAATGCAGATTCGAGTGTCCCAGGACTTCAATCATTCTGAATCTTTTTGATATCCTGCCTTTTTCCCAAAGGGCTGTTAGCCTGTTTTTCAAACAAAATTAGAGACGATTAGATTTTGAGAAATGGAGAAACCCCCGAGCTTTGGCCAAGCTGCGAAAGTCACTAACGGTTCTTCTTGAACATGATTCTCTCCTTGCCTTTCTCTAACACTGATAATGGCAGAAAGGAATCAAATCCAACACTCTAGCTCCCCTTTACAATTTTTAAATCTCTTATGGGTGAAAGCTGTTTTTCAGTGCTATCTGTGGACTGTGTTTATAGAAAGGTATGGCCAACTCTTAGGTTGTTTCCAGAGAAGGAAAATTCTACTCTCTCGAATACGGGGAATCAGGATATGTAGTCAAAGCTGTAGGAGTGGATTTTTTTTTAATATTTATTTATTTTTGAGAGAGAGAGAGAGAGAGAGCATCAGCATGGGAGGGGCAGAGAGAGGGAGACACAGAATCTGAAGGAGGCTCCAGGCTCTGAACTATCAGCACAGAGCCTGACACAGGGCTTGAAGCTACGAACTGTGAGATCATGACCTCAGACGCTCAACCGACTGAGCCACCCAGGTGCCCCGTAAGAATGTTTCTAACAGGACAGGGCTACACGTGCAGCTCTCCAAAGGTACGTCATGAGAGGAGGGGTTCAGCATTTCCATAAGATCAAAGTGTTTTATCCTCAAACCATTTTATTCCACAGGAATGAGGTTTGCAGAGAGCTTTCACGATTATTCGCTTTAATTGAAAGAGCAAAATAATTAAGCCTAGAATAAACCACACATGAAGAACACCCCCCGACACACACACACACACACACACACACGCATATACATACACATATATACATATGCACACATACATGCACACACATATACATGTACATGCATATACACATATACACACAGACATACACACATACATATACACACATACACACACACCTATTCTATTCTCTGTTCTCCAGGCCTTACCAGATGAATAAGAGAACTGACCTATCCAGTCCCCTATTTCCCTTGGCTCTCTTATCTTCAGCCCATGACCCACCTGAAGTCTCTCTGCTGGTTCTCCTTCGAATCCTGCATCATCCTTGCCAGAAATCCAGCCTTGACTCTAAATATGTCCCACTTCTGTTCACTCTTTCACATGTAATAGTTCTCCACTCTGACAGAGAAAACAAAGAGGAAAGCAGAAGCATTAGAAGATTCCGTGGGTAAAGATCCAGAAGCATATCCACTTTGTCAAGCACCCTTGTCGCACATGGGCAAGTTCACTGCTCTGGAGAGGGAGGAGAGCCCCTGGGCATCAACTGAGAGAAGTGGGAGGGCAGAGTCAGGCAGAGGGCTGCCTCAGGTGCAGCTCAGGACGGAAGAAGAACGCCAGGGCTCAGGCAGGTTGGAGGAGCCTGATCTGGACTACACGAAACGGGGGGAGCGCCCGGGGGTTACCCTGGGTGTCCCAGAGTGACCTGAGCAGAGATGATTCCCACCCAGATGGGGACATATCACTGAGAACAGTCTGTCACCAGCAGCTCCAGGGGGCAAAGGAAGGTAGCACAAAGAAACACGAAACCAGCATGGGGGGGCAGGGGGAGCTCCTGGCTCAGTTTTGTCACCACAGACTTACATGTCCCCTGCCATGCGTGTCACTTACCCTCAGACTGTCTGCGTCATCTCCATAAGCTCGTGCTAATTAATTAATCGCAAACAGATCAAAACTGAGGCCTGGTGGGAGGTAAGCGAGAACAGCGGGGAGTGTGAAATGGTGTATCTGATGAACGCTTGAAAACTTTATATCCGTCAGTTATTTCCTTACATTTCAAAACAGCGGAATCTAAGGAACTCACACTTTGTGGGTGAACCTGAAACTGGACTGTTTGAAATACCACTCCAGTCCGGGACCCCCGCCTGCGGCCCAACAGCCTTGCAAATGGAGCTGCTGGGGAGCAGGTGTTTGGGGGTTCACAACGGCGGTTCTCCTCTTAAAGGGACCAAAACTCTGCAGAGTACAGCACCTAAAACAGTAATCCTTTCTTCACCCCGCCTCCCACGTCCTCCTCTAAAGGCGCACTTTTCCCCAAGTGAAATGTGCAGCGAGCTTGGTTCAACAGCGAACAATCCAGCCCACACTTCAGGTTCAAGAAAAATTGCACGGCTTCCCCCTGCAGATTGAAGCCACGTGCTCTCTCTCCTTGTGTCTTCATGACTGTGTTTTGTAGCTCTCAGCCTGGATTCACGCTATGTGAGTAAATATTCCAGACGTAACAGTCTGGTTCTGGGGATGGTAACCCAGGGCTCTCTAGAACTAGAGACTTCCATTGTATTTTTCTGGCTTTAGATTACTCTCTGAGAAAGGAGGCTGTTGAGGGAGTGAACATGGACAGGGACAAGTTAATAAAGCGACTCTACTCGGCAGAAGTTCGCACCTGCAAGCACAACATTGTATTGACTGGCTCAGAAACAGACAGGTGCTACAAACCTTACTTGGACATATGTTACATTCACAGCCTCACCCACACAAGGACAGACAGTAGGCTTGGAGACACGTACAAGTGGACACCAGATGCTTGAGTAGAACCAAGGCTTCAGAACATTAGGTCTGTGGTGGTCACAGCAGAACCACAGAGACTCAGCACTGAGTTCTGACCCTCCTACCCTGGCCTGGGCTGGGACCTGAGACCCGAGGTGGCTCCCCTCTGAGCCACAGGAGACGTCCCACATAAAAGGCAAATGGGAAATGAAGCCATAGCCTCCATGAAAGAGAAATATTCATAACACATTCCTCACCCAAATCAGAGCCCAGGAACCCTATCTTAACCTAAAAAATATTATCCCCAGAATATATAAGTTTATTATTGTCCCTTCTGGAAGTCCCAAGATCCTTCACAACTCTGCAATTCACACACCAAGCCCCAAACTTTTGATCAATTCTGGGAGTTCCTTGATGATACAAAGTGGGTCTTATCCATCCATCTGTCTCCTGTCACTGGTTCCGTGTTTGTCAAAGAGTAGATATTCAATAAATGTTGTTGAATGTGTAATATATACTCCTTATGAATTAATATATCAAATATTTATCAGGATTATGTGCACATCCCTGCCCCACGCTGCTACCATAGTCAGGGGTTAGCTCAGTGGAGCTGCGAAAAGTCACTTAAAGGAAAATGTGATAATGGTTAGCTAATAAGATGTTGCTAAGCAATGAGGAGAAATATTTTAAATAGACTTGAAGTGAATGATATAAGTAAGAGTACAGAATGGGGGGGGGGGAGCAACTGTCTCCTTTATCCCTAGAACTCGGGGACTTTTTACCGGACTGGTCAACTCCATCTGGTTCTCCTTGGTCATCCTAGTACGAGGAGTACTGAGGGAGGCTGGAGACTCCATGAAGGTCAGTTTTCTGTTTGTGCAAGTGAGAGCTGTCATTTGGCTTAAGACACCTTCGTGTGTAGCTTTGCTGGGTGTGGAAAGTTAAGGGAGGATCCATTCTGTTCCACAAGCAGTTAAACAAAAGCCCTCTCTCACATTCCCTCCCCCACCCACTACATGGCCATTTTCAGCCTCCTACAGACAACACTCAGAGAAACTTCTTCGGGGCTTGTACTGAAGACTATGCAAAGGCGACATTGCGAACGATGCATTTCTTTCTTTCTTTCTTTCTTTTTTTTTTTTAAACACGGGAACTAAGTTGGTGCAGGTTGGAGGGATAATTAAATTAAAATGGTCCTCCAAGTTGATTTCTGTTGGCAAGAAGCTTTCTGGGAAGTATCTACGATGCGTCCAGTGATCATCATATCCTTCTCGTTTATGAAGGTATAGTGAGAAACCACTGTCGAGAAGAGATGGCTACGTATTTGCTTTGTAAGCAAAAGGCATGTATCATAGTTGCATCTGTAATAGTGTCCACATCTTTACCAAAGGCACTGAATTTTACCTGTTTTTCTGACCTGGTGGTGGCCTTCACCTCCTCAGTGATCATTTTTGGTATGCCGTATGCCACGTTCATTCTTTCTCCCGAAAATACGTCAATTGTCTGTACTATAAAATGATGCCTGCAACTGTGTGGTGATATTATCCCCTAAGTTTAACAGTGAAATAAGGAAATAAAACTATTAATAAACAAAGAATGTGGTTTGCTTGCTTTTTAATCCAAAGTCTGCACAGCTGCGGCTTTTTGCTCTAAGAGCAGAGACACGGAAGGTTCCTTCTGGAAGAGGCAGTTATGCACACTGACTACTCTCTCTTTTTTATATACGCTAGAATTTTCTTCAACAGCTAATACTGTTGCTGCCATAACCCAAAAACACATATGATAATGTGTTTAGGAGTGTGTATTAAGCATGTGTAAAATGTGTCTACACACACAATCCTTATTCCAAGAGTCTGAGGAAAAATTCTGTCTAGATAAACCCATGAACAAGGAGTTTTATTTTCCTCCTTTTAAAAGAAATGCTTATCTTCCCCAACCCCTTTTTTTAAATGACTTTTTATTTATTTTTGAGAGACAGGGCATGGGTGGGGGAAGGGCAGAGAGAGAGGGAAACACAGAATCCCAAGCAGGCTCTGAGCTGTCAGCACAGAGCCCAAGGGGGGCTCGAACTCCCAAACCGTGGGATCATGACCTGAGCCAAAGTTGAACACTTAACTGACTGAGCCACCCAGGCATCCCTCTTTCCCCATTTTTATTTTTTTTTATTTTTATTTATTTATTTATTTATTTTTTTAACATTTATTTATTTTTGAGACAGAGAGAGAGCATGAACGGGGGAGGGTCAGAGAGAGGGAGACAATCTGAAACAGGCTTCGGGCTCTGAGCTATCAGCACAGAGCCCGACGCGGGGCTTGAACCCACGGACTGCGAGATCCTGACCTGAGCCGAAGTCGTCCGCTTAACCAACTGAGCCACCCAGGCGCCCCTCTTTCCCCCTTTTTTAAAGAATTGTTTATTAATTTCTTTTGGACCCATCAGAAATGTTTTCCTCCTGAAAATAAAAATCAAGCATCATATTTCACTGCATTGACTTTAAATTTTCTGCAAGTGTAGGTATAAACTGAAGTCAGTCTAGGCAAGGGATGCGAGGGTTTTTTTTTTTTAATGTCTTGCTTAATTGATTTGTGGCTATTATGCTATTTCACAGCACGTGCCATAGAAACCAAACACTGCCTCTTCATTGTGGAAACTTCCCAACTTTCACCTTGTAAGCAAGACCAAGAAAACAGTTTTCTGAATCTCTCTCTCTCTCTCTCTCTCTCTCTCTCTCTCTCTCTCTCCCTATCTCCTTCATCTGTCATTAAATCCTCATTCTTAGTTTATCATTTGGACATATGCTCTCTAGGGCAAGCTCTGTCTGATTTGATGAACCATTTTGTCATGATTCTCAAGGAGATCAATGCAAATTGCCAGGAAATGAACTACTTTTCTTACACTCTATGATAACGGGCAGTTTTTTAATGTTTTCATTTTATTCTTGAGAGAGTACGAGCAGGGGAGGGGCAGAGAGAGGGAGACAGGATCCAAAGTGGGCTCTGCACGGACAGCATAGAGCCTGATGCGGGGCTTGAACTCACAAACTGGAAGATCATGACCAGAGCCAAAGTCAGATGCTCAATCGTCTGAGCCACCCAGGTACCCCAATAACAGTTTTATATGAAATTAATACTGAGACTGAATAAGAAGAGTTTTCTGTTGTACTGACGTCTTCCATAATTTGCTACATAAATTGCCTAGATATAACCTATAGCTATAGAAAGAAAAAAATGGCTGAGACTATGGAAAATTAATGAGGTATAAGAACATGTTAATGTTGGAAAGGGCAACCAGGCACCAGTTGATTTTTAACTGAGTGGTGCACCGGAGGGAATTGATAAATATCTTTGCGGAGGACTTGCTACTTCGTAATCTGAATGGTTACATGGGAGGCAATTTTGTGAAACAGAACTTTGCTCTCTCGACCTCAGTTAATGAATCCAAGGATTGGTACCCAGTTGGACTGATCAAAAAATTAACCAAAGAATTTTTAATTTTAGGGATAGATTGGAGCCGGTCTCATCTCACGCACCCAGGATTGTGAAACACGGGAGCTAGCAGCCGTGACTTGTCACATGAACACATCGTATGTATCATATGCATCGTACGAGCACATCAGAAACTGATGTGGGAAAAAG